CCAGCCACACAGGACACATCTGACCTCCAGTAGCCCTTAGCCACCACTGCCAAGAGACCTGTGAGAGGTGGCTGAGTCCCTGCGGCCTCGTGGTCACTGGCTCCCTCTGGCCCTGCATTCCTGTCACTGGGGCCCAGTCTGGGCGGTCCTACCAGACATGGAGAAATCTGTGGGCACTGGAGTTGGCCAGGGCTGGGCAGGGCCCATTGTGGCCCAGGCCAGCTGGAGCCCAGGTTTTCCTATCCCCAGGCCCTACAGCACTGTGTGGCATGGGGCTGGTGACCCGAGGCTCCACCAGTGCCCCCTCCACCCCTCAGTGCTCATTGGTGCCCAAGATGTCCTGGGCGAGCAACTGACCCAGCAATGACTGCAGCTGGTGGCAGGTGTGCTGGCGGGTGGGGGAGTCACAGCACTTGCCCAGGGGGGACCCACAGGAGCAGGAGCAGCACCTTCCGGCTGTGGGCTGCAGTGGGCCTGCAGGTGCAGGGCTCCCGGAGGGTTCCTGCCCTGCTCACTCCTGCCTCTCCAGAGCCGTGGAGCCTCCTTCCAGGAAGTGAGCCTGGGTGGGGGTGGAGGAGGGGAAGTGGAGCCCAGGGTGTGGGGGTAAGGGGATGGGGGTCCTGGGTTCCTGGATCTCTGCCTTGGGCACCCGAGGGCAAGTTGGTGCGGTGCAGGCCTGGGGAAGGCTGCAGGGGTGAGGGGCGAGTCCCCTGCTCCACCACCTGCCGGAGACCAGGGAAGCTGTGGGGTGGCAGTGATCCCCCTGTAGCAGAGTATGTGGCCCCCACTTTGTGGCAGAGGAAGTGGGTATCAAGAAGTCCCCGCCTGGCTTCCTGTAGGACAGCCCCTGTCCTCTCCACTGGGCCACTCTTCCTCTTCAGTTTGTGCTTTTCACAGGGTCAGAGCTGAATTCTTCCAGATTCTTACTCCCGAGTCCTGAGGGGTGGACCTGGGACCCCTTTCCTTGGTGACTCTTTGGGGACCAGATGGGGGGAGCCACAGGGCTGGAATCAGATGAGAGCCAGTGTCAGAGGGTCAATGGGCCAGACATCCTCCGTGTAATGTCCTCCACCTCCCTGGCAGCCTAGCGTGGGATTGTCACCTCCCTGTCTCAGAAACTGGGGGCTTGTTGGTTTGGACCACAAATAAACCTGAGCAGAACAGTACAGATGTGGACAGGTAGGGCTGTGACCCTCAGAAAGGCCTGTGTCCCCCACTTGCCCTCCGCACTCTGCCCTCAGCTGGGGACAGTCAGGACGTGTCTGGTGGCCTTGGTGGATGTTGGGGCCAGCCCCACCCTTGAGGACCAATGCGGGTCACCGCCTCCCCAGCTGCAGAGGCCTCCGCTCTACCTCCATCCTCTCAGCGATGGCAAATGTCACACTGTGACCCCTTCACGCCACCCACCTGTGTCCTCATCCTGTCTCCGCGACCTGGCCACAGGGGACCCAGGCCATGCAGCAGGTGGCTGCATCCTCCTTAGGATGACGTCTGTGGGGAACCAGCCCCAAGCCCAGTGCGGCCTCCCTGGCTGACTTAATTGACAAATAAGTGTTGTTCTGTAGGCTGGGCGTGTGCAGTTTTAGATAATCAGCTATTTAATTGTAGTGGTAAAAATAGCTCAGGGCTGCCTGCCCTGGTGCACAGCATCGAAGGTACTCGCCTGGCTGCTCTGGGCTGGGCTGTTCCGTTCACAGCTGGGAGCAGCTGTGTTCCGTTTTTCCGTGCATGGTGTTTACGCTTGTTGATTGCACCCGGCGGGCCAGAGTGCTGCTTCCTTTACAGCCTGCATCTGGGGTGTCCGTGCTGTGGCTCCCAGCGTGGAATGAGCCCCACGGTTGCCGTTCAGAAACTTGAGCGTCCAGCCAGGCCCGCATCCCCAGGACAGCGGCCGGGGAAGGGCTTCTGTCTCCCTGTCCCGGGCCCATAGACGGAGAAGTTGGCCTTGTCGTGTTGGGTGTAAAGGATTCGGCGTGGCGAGACGGTTATGACCCATTTCCAAAGTGTTTCAGCATGACTTTTGTGAATATTTTGTCCTAATTCTGTATAATTAGAAGCTAGAAGCCCTACTCCATGATTATTTTTTTTTCACCAGCGTAACCTATATTAGAACTATCTCCATATGGGTTTTCAAAAAAGAAAGCATTTGAACAAAAACACAAAAGGAATTGATTTTATCTGCGCTGTTCTCAATGCTCGGGAATTAAGAGGTTGCGTAAGGAGCCCTGGAAGCTGGAAGCTTGTAGCTCTGCTACTCGACTGGAGCAGAGGGGGAGTCGTGCAGAAATGTGAATTCCTACCTTTAGGCCGCGCAGCCTGGTGACACGCTTTGGTCTCCCCTTCCTGGTTCTTTCTCCTCCGCCTCAGGGGAGCGAGCTCTTGTCCCTGTGGGTGACCCTCAGGCCCAGAGGGCCCCGTGCTTGGAGGCCTCTCACTGCTGGATCTGCCCCGAATGTGGGCAGATACGACCCTCCTGTGCCTGCCGGGACCTCGGAGAGGGCGGACGTGTCACTGGCGTGGTGGTGCAGGCCTTGAAGAGGGACTTGCTGGCCAGTCTTTCTGTCCTCTTTTCATGGATTGGAGCTCAGGTGCCCGGAATGGGCTGAGTCACTTGGGTCCAGACGTGCCACTGTCAAGGCTCCAGCATGGCCCTCTAGCGTGTGATGGTTGAGCTACTGTTAGTGTCATGGAACAAGAACTGGGGCCTTGATGATCCCCACTGTCCAGCTGGTGGTCCTCCCTGCCCGCCACGTCCTGGCTGGCTGTCCCTTGTTTTCTGTGGGTCCACTCAGCTGGTGCCTTCCTACCTATGCAGCTTGTCCGAGGGCCCGTGTCCTCCCTGTTCCTTCCGGCAGGGGACTGGTTGGAGTGGTCCGGTCAGGTGGGGCCATTGTGGGTGGGAGATAAGTCTGGCAACTGGGCCTGGGCAGGTGTGAAAGCTCTGGGGTGCAAGCTCGGGGCTGCACAAGGTGGTTTGCACGAGAGGGGCTGGGCCAGCGGCCAGAGGACAGCAAGGCCAGAGCTGGCCCCTAAGTAGGTAAAACGGTGTCCCTGTGGTGGGGAGGTCCTGGGAATGCAGGTGTCCAGGATGAAACGTGGAGCTTGGTCTCAGGATGGCCGGCCTTGCAACAGGACGGAAGATCCAGGCCATAGACGGAGGCTGTGGCGGGCCGGGGCTCTCTGGAGACGGCAGTGCTGCAAAGCGGAGGCCCTGAGGGTGCAGGGGGTCCGGGGCAGCACGGGGGCAGCTGGGAAGGCCACCCCGTTCCGCAGCAGCCGGCCCTCTGCCTTGGCTCTGGTACTCCTGAGTGGCTCAGGCTTACCCTGCTGCTCCTGGTACAGTGTTCCCTCTTGCAGCCCGTGGGGTCCAGCTGCCCAGAGGGAGGGGGAGCTGGGGCCCTGCACCCCAGTCCTGGCATCCGGGAATGGCAGCCCCCCTCCCGGGGATGCAGAGCCAGGCCAGGTTGCGCGAGGGTCTTTGCCACTTGGCATGGGGTGCGCCTGGGAACAAGCGGAGGCAGAGATGGGTCCTCAGCAAGCTCAGGGGAGGAGCTGACTCCCAGGGTGACTTGGGGTTCAGTGCGCTGCCTCTCTCCCCCTTTGACACTGGAGATTGAATCCCCGCCCTTCATCCTCTGCTACTTCCTGTGCCCTTTTTTATTAGTCACTGTGAGGCAGGGTCTCGCAGGGTCTCGCAGAGTCACCAAGCTGTCCAAGCTGGGCTTGCATGTGTGACCGTTCTGCCTCAGCCTCCCGAGTGCCGTGATTACAGACCTGCACCGCCGTGCCTAGCCACCCAGCTGCCTTTGCAGGTTGTGTCTTTTCCTGTTTTGGTCTCCTGGGTCATGGATCTCTGTGAAGGGCCCCCCTCCTGTGCGACCCCTATGTCATGGCTGGCTGTGCCCCTACAGAAGTGAGGTGATGCCCCTTGTTCCGGGACTAGGGAAGGAGGGTTCTCAGGGGCAGCTCAGCCTTCATGGAAGGCTGCCCCTGGACACAGCCATGGGAAGCCCCTCCTTTTGTGTGGTACCCTTGGGCCCAACCAGTCATCCCCCGACTCTGGCCACCATGGGACTAGCTTCTCCCCCGGGCCCTGCTCTAACTCACCCTGTGTGCCCCTGCCTGCAGGTGATGACCCCTCTGGCAGGTGCAGGGTGAGACACTGCCTGTCCCCAGTGCCATGGTTACCTGGAGCTGGGACATCCACCCCGCCCCACCGCTCACTTGTCCACCCAGAGGACTGCACGGACCAGGCTGCAGACTAGTCCAGGACAGGCAGGCTACCATGCCAGGTTTCCTTCTTTGGGGTTCCCCTTGTGGATGCATAATTGGCATCGTCGGTCTGTTCAGATTGGCACCATGACCCAGGTCAGAGGTGGCCTGACCATGTCACTGGCCACAGCTGCTGAGCAGATGGACTGTAGGACATGCTGCCCAGGCCCTGTGAGGGCCCTCGAACTGCATCTGGTTGAATCGAGTTTATGAGGCATATGGGCATTGGCTTCCATAGGTGTGCATGTGACCAGACGACAGGTGTCATCTTGCTGCAGAGCCGGACTGTGAAGCCGGAAGTCACCCGGTCCCTGTCGCCTGCGGGTGTCAGCCAGTGGCCAGGGCTTCGGGCGGGCTTGTGAGCTTGGCCTGGTCCCTGCGTCTGGGTCTCTGGGCCAGGCCAGGGAAATTTGGAGTCGAGGCCCTGGGGCAGCATTCCTGTGTCACTGGGGGCCCTTTCCCCTCTGGTCACTGAGGGCTGTGCCTTTTGGTGGGGCTTTGATGGCCCAGAACAAACAGCCCTTTGCTCCCAGGGCAGTAGGGCAGCGCACCACCCGCTCCAGCTCCTGCCGACCTGTTGGGCTGGTTGAGCCGGGTCTCCCTGCCTGCCTCCCTGCCTGCGTCTCTGCTTCCCTGCGTCCTGCCCTCTCTGGGAGGCCACAGCCCTGCCTTTGGGCTCAGGGTGGCCCAGTGATTCCAAAGGCCAGTGAAGCAGCCCCTCCGCCTGCACAGTGCCAGTGCCGAGCTGGCTCAGGGCAGCGCCCAGTCTGCCTGCCGGGGAGGGCCGCCCAGAGCCAGGCTGCTGGGGGGACTCTGTGTCACCTCTGCGTTCCGTTCCAGGGCTGAGGAGGGCGCGTCCTTCCTGAGGAGGACGTGATCTGCTGCCCAGAGGCTGTGGGCACGAGATGATGTGGTGAGCTTCAGCGTGCTCTCCCTCTCTCTCTCTGTCTCTCTCTCTGTCTTTCAGGTGATTCCCCAGCAAGCTTTTAATCAGGACAAAAACAAGTGCCGTTTTATTTACACATTACTATTCTGGCCAAGTTTCTGCGGCTTTGTGTTTTGTTCATTTTTGCTGTTTGTTTTCCTGTGGCCCTGGGCCCTGGACTGGGGGACGCTGAGCCACATCTTCAACCCTTTGTATGTTATTCTGCCTCCGAGTCTCACTAAGTCGCCCAGCCTGAACTCAAGCCTGGCGATCCTCCTGCCTCAGCCTCTGGATCACTGAATCGGCCAGGCATGTACCACTGTTCCTGGACAGACTTAACTTTGTGTTTGTTGCTGTCTCTCGCTGCGTGTAGCACTTGTCTTCAGAGGAGGTGAAAGGTAGTGTGCTCTGGTTTAGTTGCATGCTTTGTGCTTTCATGTCTGGCAGTGGCCACCTTTTTCTGGTGAAGCATGAAGGTTCTAGCAAGATGTGTGGGGCTCTGGAAGCTCCCACGAGTGGAGCCAGGGCTGAGACTGCTGTGTGGATGGAGGAAGGGGGAGGGGCTGGACTGTCGGTTGCATCTTGGCCTTTGTGCCGAGGGAACTGGAGGTGGACGGCATTAGCTGGTCCTGCCGGTGCCCATCAGCTGCCTCCTTCCTGCCTTTGTGAGCAGGGCATCGAGGGCCCTGGGATTGATTTGCTGGCTGCTTGATCTTGGCTCAGGGTCCCTACAGCCGCCCTCAGCTGCAGGGCAGGAGGGTGAGGCCCCCAGAGATGAGCTGGGGCAGCCCCGAGCTTTGGGTGGAGGGCCATACCTGAGACAGGAAACAGGAGCTGCTGCTGAGAGCCAGCTGGCACAGCCCTGTGGGTGCAGTGGGTGCCGAGTGGCCTTGTGGTCGCTGTTGCTGTTCAGGTGTGGCCAAGTTCAGGCCTGACCGGAAAGCGGAAGCCAGTGGCTGGAGGTGAGAGCCAGGGCAGGTGTGTGTGTGTGTGTGTGTGTGTGTGTGTGTGTGTGTGTGTATGTGTGTGTGCGTGTGTGCTGGAGTGTATGTACTGGGAGCACTGGGCACAGGTGCAGGGTGAACCTGACCCTGCACTTGTGCTGCCCACAGCAGCATGCTGGGAACCATCTGCTGGACAGGCCAATTCCGAGGTGTCTGGTCGCATCAGGCTGGGAATTTGCAGAAAGCCTGGCGCAGCAGCGGGGTTGGGAACCTGGGTCGTGGGCTGGCAGGGCAGGCGTGTGTCCTGCATGGGGCAGGGCAGAACTATTGGAGACTGCAGCCCTTGCTGGCACTTTCGAAGTGTGGAGTTGCAGATGAATTTTTAAGAATTAAAAGCTTCCCACACTGAGTCACGAGTAACCTGCACTCCGGTGTGAACTCAGCGCTGAGGCAGGAGACTCTCAGTGCAGGGGACACAAACACACCCCACAGGTCAGTGTCCCGACCAGGGAGGGGTGCACTCTCGGGTTCTGCCCACCTTGTAGAGCAGAAGGAAACAGGTTTTGGTGCATGCTGGCCTCTGTAGCAGTGGCAGTCCAGCTCCTCGAGGATCCGAGCTGGGTCTCGCCCTTCCTCTCTGCAGATGGGCTGGGAAGTGGGCAGTACAGATCTCCTCCTCCAAAGGCCTGATGTTTACTGAACAAGTGACCAGAAGGCAGAGGGAGCCTTCGGTCATAAAAAGTCCTTTCCACAGTACCTGCTTTAGAAATTGTTTCATGTCTTAATTTCTTTTAAAATTTTTTAAAATTTATTTAGGTTTTTTGACACAGCTTGCTGTGTGTTCCAGGCTGGCCCTGAACTTACTAGGTAGCCCAAACTAGCTTTGAACTCAAACGGTTAGCTCTTCCTGCCTCGGCCTCCCAAGTGCTGGGATGATAGGCCTGTGCCACCACCCCTGGCTCAGTGCTGACCTCCTCAAGGCCAGCGAGACTCAGGCTGTCCTGTGTGGGAGCCATCGCCAGCTTACAGCTGCCCCTGCAGGTGTCACAGGTGGACGGAGGAGCAGGAGCCACCCAGGGGACTTCAGGCTTGGACAGGGTTGGGCCCTCTGGGGTGTCAGGGCAGTGTCTCTGCCTCCTGTCCTCCAGTTGGTGGCCTTTGTCCCCATCCTGTCTCTATCACGAGCTGTGCCCCAGGCCTCTCACATCTCTGGGCAGCAGTGGTCTGTCCTGCAGTGACCTGGATGCTGTGTCCACGGGCTTGGTGATGGGTGGGCAGTGCAGGGGGCAGCAGCAGCCTCTCTTCCATCACTGGTGCTCAGGGCTGGTGTGGCCTCTGGGCCCAGGAGGGCTTCCTGGAGGAGGGGCCTCTCGTGGCTGTGGGGAAACGGGTAGGCTTTGGTCCACAGTGCAGAGTGGAAAGGTGTGCTAGGAAGCCCAGGGTTCACTGGGTGAGCAGAGGGGCCTGCCACAGTTGGTGGCTGTCATGCATGAAGATGATGACCCTGACCAGAGACTGCCTGAAGAGGATAGTGTGTGTCCATCATGGCCCGCCCAGCCCTGGCCCTGGCCTGAGCTTGAAGTCCCCTGCTGTCTTTGCGCCTATCTGGGCTGCCACTGGGGTGGGTGTGTGGTGCTGAGGCCCTCGTGGGGAGCCCTGGGTGCCCAGCAGGAGCGGGGCTGCCCTGTCTTGCCGCTTGGTTCTGTGCCTTGGTTTCCTTGTTTGTCATGAGGATGAAGTCAGTGCCTGGGGACCCTGTGACCCCCTCTCATGCCTGTGCACAGTGACCCCAGATCAGGGCCATGTCCTCGGCCAGGGTGGGCACCCCAAGCCCTCAGTTCTCAAATTGCCTGCACCTGACGTGGCCCTGGGCCCTTTGCTGGTCTCCTGGCCAGGGCTGCCTTCGTGGGTGCCTGGCCCCGGGGACCCGCCCTGCAGGTGCATGGAGCAGGTGTCATGGACTCTCAGGCCCCCCTGCCACGCTGTGCCAAGCTGCACCCTGCTCCCTCTCGTGCCCGCCAGCAGGGTGTGCTGGGTTTGGGGAGCTCTGGAGGAGGAGCCAGGCCCTTCGGGGCAGTGACAGAGGTCAGGTGACCAGGTGAGGTAGAGACATGGACTAGATACGGAAGTGGCTTAGTGACGGGTCAGGGCCTGGCTGCAGGGGGCCGAGAGACACTGGCTCCCCAGGTGGCCCTTGGCCCCTGAAGTGACATCCTGAGCTTTCTGGGGCTGTTGTTCTGTGTAGGGACCTGCTGAAGCTGATCACCCCTGCAGGGCTGGGGCATGGCCCTCCCAAGAACAAAGAGCGCCACCTCAGCCCAGGGAAAACCTAGCCCAGGACAACCCGATAGTGAGTTGCTAGAATAGGGCTGTCCGTGACCTTAACTTGCAAAGTGTATAAATAAGCGTCCCCACAGTGAGGGGCGGGTCCCTTGCTCCCTTTGGGAGAGAGGGCTCCACCACCCCCAGCTCTCATCTCTTTATTTTCTCATCCTCTCGTGGTCCTTCTCCCTGGGAACCTCCAGAGCTCTGCTGGTCATGGCAGCTCCCAGTGGATTTCTGTCTTTTTCTTCTCTTCTTGCTGTGCTTTAGAGCCCAGATGTTCCCAAGGCCTCCTCCCCAAACTGGTTTGTTGATGGGTGTGGGCAGGGACGTGACCTTCTTCCTCTTGGCTCTGCCTCTGCTTCCCAGCTGCCTTGAGGTGGGCAGCTCCCCCGTGCTGTGGGCCAGTGACCATGGACTGAAGCTGCTGACACCGTGAGCCTCCTGTGAGGGGCTTTCTCAGGTATTCCTCATGGTGATGGACAGCTGGCCACCACCACTGCCCCTTATCTTCCTCTCTTCCTTCCTCCCAGTACCCAAATAGGTGAGTCCGGGGTCCGTCCTTCCCCACCCTGTGACCTTCCTCGGTAGGGGGGACATACAGCCTCCAGCCCTTTTTTTTTGTTTTTAAATCTCAGCTTGGTTTTATCCAGTATGCTCTGACATGTTCTGGATAAATAATTTTTTTGTTATCTTTATAATAGTTGTTCTTTCAATCATGTATATCAAAATGAGATGAAATACAGAACACTATAGAACTTATCAAAACAGAATATTGAATAGAGCAGTACCATTAATCAGAAAAGAGCAAAATAGTAATAAAAATATTTGCCTTCAAAGAGATGGTAGAAGGAAGTCCCCCTTATTTGCTATGGTCAACCTCCCAGGAGACGCTCAGATTTCTGGTTCCCATTTGCTAACGGGCGGGGCGGGGAGGCATAGGGGAAGTGGGATGTTTGACTCTAGGCCGTGCACCAGTAGGTTCACTATTGCTTAGCAGGGAGGCAGGCTGGTTGTTGGGTTTCACAGCGTCCTAAGTTCCGACATGGTGCAGATCTCAGGAGCTGCTGCTGGTCTCCCCCGGAAGGGCCCAGCCCTTTTTTTGCCAGCTTGGAAACTGAATTTTAGGGAAGCAACCTTGCACGGTTGGTCCTTCCTTGTGGGAGGAGGAGACTGTCTGGGGGTGGAGTCTCTGTTTTGCTGGGCACAGTCAGGCAGCCCCATGCCCGACCCTGTGGGCAGGGCTGTTTCCCTGTCCCGCACGCTGTGGCTGTGATCTGCAGGGACCAGGGTCTCTTGGTGTGAGTGGAGCTGGCATTTTGCTCCGTGTAAGTGCAGGTTGATCCTCTTTCCCGGGGTTAAGATCTCTCCTGCCCATTTTCTCCTGGCTGTTTCTCAGCATCCGACACATTAATTCTTTGTGGGAGGTGCTGGAATGCTTTTTCCCCCGAATTAGCTTTGAATACTTATGAAAGATTTTGTCTCACAGGAAATTGTTTTTTGTTTTGTTTGGGTTTTTTTTTTTTTGAGGTGCTGAGGTTGGAGCTCGGGGCCTGGTGCTTGTCAAGCGAGCCGCCCACTCCTGATCTCACTCCCACCTAGGAAGTAGCTGTCAACACTGCCGTCTCGTGCTGCTCATGTCTCTCTCGGGAGGACCTGTCCGGCCCCAGCGTCACAGACAAACCCTCTCCATCCTATACCACCTCCACCAACCTCTGTACC